GGAGTGATGATTGACAGATGGATGGAGGACAGATGGGTGGATGATGGACAGATGGATGGTTGTTGGATGGTTGGATGGATTATGGATGGTTGGATGGATGGTTGGGGGGGCGAGATGGGTCAGGGCAGCTGATTGGGGACCAGACATTCCCAGTTTGACTCCCAGTCATCCCCACATGTTGTGGTGTCTCTGAGCAGGACATCTAACCCTCTTGCTCCCCGGGTGCTTCCACAGCTGCCCACTGCTCCACCCGGTGTGTCTCAGGTGTGATGGTCAAATGCAGACACGGATTTCATCGTCGTACGGGAACAAACCGTGATGACAGTCTCAGACTTCCTTTAATATGTTCCACCACTAATATGTTAACACATGTTCACATGTGTTAACACGTGTTATGTTAATGAATATGAGTTTATGACATTTTCAAACTGTTGCATTGTTTTTGTTGACATTTCCACATCGTCCCAACCTCCTGAGGCGCGGGTGTGAAAGCACCCGGTGATTCTGTGCGTGTTCAGTTTGGGATCGTCTCGCTCTGAGCCCTTGAAGAGGCCGGATGTGACGAGGCTCCATGTTCCTGCTCTTGTGTTCTCTTGCAGCTGCAGAGTGGCTGTTTGGTTAAATCAACACATTCGAGTTGAAGGATGGAAACAGTTTGATGTTATCCTGATGCATGCTCAATAATCCAGGTAGTAATGTAGTCATTTGACATCCAGAGTTTTCTGCCTGTTCTTGGAGTAGAACAGGAAATATTTCTTCCTGAAGGTTCCTCTGTACAGAAACATCTTTAAAGCCACGGTCACAGTAAAGCTGTATTTTGAATTTACAAGTTTATTATGTGTTTCAGCTTTTTTTAAACGGCTCAGCTCCGTCTAAAATGTCAGAAATGCAGTTTTGAGCTCCAGCTTTCACCTGGGAAGCCCTGGAGGAATGTTTGGAGGTCCGCACTGACAACAAGTCACTGACAGCTGGTGTTGGGTTGAGTCGCTGCCAACAGGCAGAGGAGAAGACATAAACTCAACATTTTAGGTTTTCCATGCACACAGCCAACATCTCTGGAGAATAATCCAAACACACAAATGTTCTTCATGCATGAAGAAATGAAGTGACTCTCCTGCTGATGTGCCCTCGGGCCTTAATTTCACATCTTTTCACTCTGTCTTGTTTTATTTTTTATATATTTAACCTTTATTTACACCGGTTAGTCTCATTGATCCTTGAGGACTCATTTACAAAAGAGACATGAGAAAATAAAAATAGTGTTATAAAAACACTGTTAGATAAGGTCAAACTTTATTGAGCCCTCAGGAAATTGTTATTAGCATGGTCCTGTTAGCAACGTGATCTTGTTACCATGTGGTTCTATTAGCAGCATGGTCCTGTTAGCAACATGGTCCTGTTACCATGTGGTTCTATTAGCAGCATGGTCCTGTTACCATGTGGTTCTATTAGCAGCATGGTCCTGTTACCATGTGGTTCTGTTAGCAGCATGGTCCTGTTACCATGTGGTTCTATTAGATGTGTGGTCCTGTTTGAAGCATGGTCCTGTTAGCATGTGGTTCTATTAGCAACATGGTCCTGTTAGCATGTGGTTCTATTAGATGTGTGATCCTGTTTGAAGCATGGTCCTGTTACCATGTGGTTCTATTAGCAGCATGGTCCTGTTACCATGTGGTTCTATTAGCAGCATGGTCTGTTACCATGTGGTTCTATTAGATGTGTGATCCTGTTTGAAGCATGGTCCTGTTACCATGTGGTTCTATTAGCAGCA